ATATATATATATATATGCTACTCATGGTTTAAAGCTTTACACAGTGAAGGGTGGCAGGCAACATGCATTCCATCAAGAAATGCTAGGCCTTTAATTAGTTTGTGCAAACACACACGCACAGATACAAGTATAATTTTGCATCAAACAAGTTTATATGACTACATCTGACTGCACTAAAAAATAATTTCACTCCTGAAACACAGCAGTATTTAAGCTATTTGTTTATTGAAGGTTAAATATACAGCAAATTTATAAAGAACCATACATTTCTATTTTCTTAATCATAGTTAATCAATTTGAGTAAATAATTGGTTAGAGGGCTTGTTTTGTGTAAGATTCTATCGACAGAACATTATAAATTACATGTCTATGACAAAAACAAAATATGCTGACGTGTTTTTTTTATTTCCCAGTGTATGATTCATGGTAAGGGACTGCACAAATAAGCAGACAGCTAAGACTTTTAGTCAATACCTGCTGGAAAGGGTTGGGTAGATTTGGACTGCAGAACAAATAATAGTGTGCAACATCTGCAAGGTGAACGAAAAGGGAAGGTTAGCGTTACGTCCCAACACTCAGCGACAAGAGCTGGTGTGTGTGTGTGCAGTTCTGTCTGTGGAGATAAATTACCTTCGCTGAGGAAATCCTTGGTTTGGTTAACAATAAACTTGTCTGGAGACACACAGAAGTCACTGGTGCCCTGCAGAGAGGGAAATAAACACTTTTAAGACACGCAAGCTTAAATGAGGTATACATCCTCATCTATACCAAACAAGTGAATAGAAAGATTTTTAGACTAGGAAATTACTGGAAGTTTGTCTGCATATTAAAATATTTCTAATAATTTACTGTCCTTTAGTGTGCAAAAATAACACAGTAGTCCCTCATTTATGGCGGGGGATCCGTACCCTGAAGACCCGCAATAAGTGAAAAACCGCAAAGTAGGAATAGTACAAGTAGTAAGTAGTAGTTTATGATATACACACATACATTATATATATATATATATATAAAGGCGTTTTAAACCCTTCGAACATTTGCAATATTCTAAACAATGTTTCTAAACTCTAAACGCTCTAAATGAGCACAGAATGTCATGATTTCCGCTTCCTGACTCCTGCTGCTCTCTGCCACCTGCCTGCGAACTTCGCCACGCCCACTTCTCTGCTCTGCATGGAGAACAGCTGATCAGCTGCAGCAGGAAGTTTATCCATACATATGGGTTGCATAAAGGTGCAGCAGATGCTAAATAATTTAAAATAATTTATTTTAAATAAAAATCCCATGCCGATCGTGTGGCTCATCCATCAATCAGCCAATTGCGTGTCCAATCTTAATTTTGAAAAACCGCGATAGAGTGAGTCCGTGATAAACGAACCGTGAAGTACTGAGGGACTACTCTTTAGCTAAAGCTACAGGTTTGTCTATGATTACCACTAGCTCACATTTTCTCATATAGATTGAAATCCATTTTATTAGAATAAAAAAAACCAAGCACTGCCAGTTCAGTCTCGAAATTATAACAATTCTCTAGAGCAGAGAAATGTTTTGCTAATCATAGATTAAATTTACTTATTATTTATACTTTTTAATTCTTTCAAAAACAGCTACTAATGGACATGCATGGAGAGACTGGGTTCAAGTTCATGCAATCTCCATGCACCCACACTGCAACCCCCCCTCCCACCCCCACCACCACCACCACCACCACACACACACACACACACACACACACACACAAAAGTAGCTATTTAAAACAGAAGATACCAAAATTGTCAAAAAAAAATTTCTGCACGTGTGCATAATTTACACCTGGGAGAAAATAACAGGTTTTATTCACGCTGATGTCGTTCAAAGGCAATAAAAAACCTGTTATCATTCGGGGTAACACATTTCTGTAATCTATTTCAAACAAAGCCACTGTTTCATTTGTCAGTCACAATCAAGAGGTGCCTTTTTCCAACTCGTCACCGTGAAAGACGACACAAGGGGACATGGCAGGGAGCAGAGATGCTTTGAATTTTACAAAGCAGTGATGCAACACACAGACGAAGATGAATAGTTGTGCGTGTGAGCACTCACATACACACACACACACACACACATATGCACATACATACACAGGAAATAAAAAGGCAAATTAAATATATATTGAAATAGAAATCAACACAGTTCATACAAATAACTGTTTTGGAATTAAAAACACTAACATGTTAAATGGTACAAAATGAATTAAGATGCAGAAGCCAATTTTAATCCATGTAATTTGCTATATAATCTTAAACATATTGAAATTCTGTTAAAAGATAATATTAATATGTTTAAGATTATGGTGCAATAGTAAGATGTGAAGTTTTATGTAAATTGTAAAAGTCTACTAGCAGTCTGTGCATGTTTTTGTTTGTACTGTCAGCAAAATATCTTATGAATTACAGAATGGATTTTACTGAAACTTTCAAAAAGTAAGTAACTATTGATTGTCTTTTGGAGTCAAACAGTGGTGGGCACAGTTCCGCTAATCCACGAACAGCTAACGGCGGAACTGGTTTTTCATTTAGTGGATTAGCGTTTTCGCTAACTTTGGAAATTGTTAGCGGAATTAGCTTCTGTTAAATTGGGTTTTGCCAACATTAAGTCTGCTAACAAAATTCCCAAACTTGTTCCTGTCAGTTGTGGGCATGTCTGGTAGAGTCTGTTGGGCCCACTATTGATTTAATACGTGTAGACGTGACATGATTGGTCGACGCAACTTCAACTAGAAGGAGACAAAAATGTGTGACACAGACTGAGTGGCAGTCATCTTAGCGGTTAGTGGTTTAGCATTAGCTTCTGCTATTTTATTTATTTTACTTGTTTAGCGATAACAAAGCTAAACTTTTAGTTTTTGGAATGTGGGTTCCACTGGAGTCACACCAATTCAAGATGGCTATCACAGAAAAACAATTTTAGAAAATCATTCATGGCTATAGGCTATTTCAATCCTTTTTACAAGTGTTAAGATAAAATTTGCTGTAGTGGTAGATGAGCATTGGGGCTGCGGTAGGTTGGTGCTGCGGTCTTGTAATCCTGAGGTTGCAGGTTCAAGCCCAGGTTGCGTCAGGAAGGGCATCCGGCATAAAACATTTGCCAGATCTTTCATGCAAGTTTGCTCGCAGTGATGACCCCTGAAGAAGGGAGCAGCTGCAAGAAACCCAGTAGATGAGCATTATCCCCAACATGTATTTTGAACACAACAGTGGGGTGGCTGTGGCTGAGTGGTTAGAGCAGTTGTCCTCTAATGCAAGAGTTGGGGGTTCAATTCCACCAGCAGTCACATGCCGAAATGTCCCTTGGCAAGACATTGAACCCCTCATTGCCTCCAATGTGGGGCAATGAGGGGTTGCCCTATTTCTATCTTATCGAGTGGGCGATATGTAAGTACAGTTCATTTAACACTTTACACAACATTTTTGCTTAAAACCTTGACAATAACTGTTGGACTCAACCCTATTTGTCTTTCAGCAAAATATCTTATAAACCACTGGACAAAGATTATTGAAACTCCATCCATCCACTCATCCACCCATTATTTTTTACCTGTTTCTTTCTTTTCAGGTCGCAGGGGTCACTGGTGCCTATATCCAGCAGTCACTGTCCAAGAAGCGGGGGACAGCTTGGACAGGTCTCCAGTCCATCGCAGGGCCACATAGAGATAAACGAGACAAACAACCATTCACTCTCTCACTCACACCTAGGGATAATTTAAAGTTACCAATCAGCCTAATATGCATGTTTTTGGTCTGTGGGCAGAAACCAAAGTACCCGAAGAAAACAAGCAAACTCCATTATTGAAACTTTTAATATTTAATTAATGGCTGTACATGAACTGATTAATTTTTGGAGTCAACCCAGCTCAAGATGGCTGCGACAACTAGATGTAATCAGCATTAGCCTAGACAAATGTAGCTATACCTCAGTGAACTTTACATACATTGAGCTAAATCTTGATGTGGTAGTAGTTGAGAGTCATCCACAACACTAACAGGTCATGCACTAACAGGTCATGCAAAACGTTGCAATATCCAATGAGATTACCCATAATGTTATTCACAAGATGTGACCAAAATAGGTATAATTTTCTCCACCTAATATGATTTTAGTCTAAAATTCTGACATTAAAGCAGACATGATGTATTTCCTCTAGAAATGTGAGGCTTTTATTTTATCCATGTGATAATCCTGCACCCATCTACATTCAGAGTTAATAAGAGTGGGAGGTGTGTGCCAAAAACTGTTTTGCACTATTAAATTACAGTTCTCTATGCTGTTTGGTAAACTGATTATACTAGCTGCTAATATATACACGAAAAGGCTGTAAAATCACAAAATATGCAAGTAATGTGAATTACAATAAGATACAACATTTCCAGCGATTTTTATAAACTGCCATTCTATGATTTACACGTTTTGTGTCAAGTACAGCCTTTAGTCAGCTTCAATGACATGACACTTGTTTATGACAAGAGAGAAAAAAAAAAAAAACCTGTACAAGAACAAGCCAGGCACTGTTGGGATGTTACACCATCATCTCTATCTCATTATACTGGAGGGGACATTTTGTTTATGCTCCGTCTCATCAAATATGCATAAATTTGAGTATTTTCTGGGACACCAGCATCATCTAGTTTCATTTCCAACTGCATTATATTTATGCTTGCACTTTTTTTAACTAATGATGTGGAGGTGTAACAAGTTTACTCGTTTGTTTTGTATACTGTCCCACATTTGAGAGCATGTTCTTTCAAATATAACTAAACCTGGAGGACTAGCTTGCTTGTTAACCCCTTGAGGTCTGATGTAACGCATACATGCAGCTCAGTTCAGAGAGTGCCAATGGGTTGACAAGAAGACCGGGATAAACCTTTGGTCAGTTTACCTCATCTGACCTGTGCTGTAACGTGCTAACAAAGACATACACACATGCTTTACTCAATTAGTTTGGATAATCTGGCCAGAAAGGTGCAGGTTTCATGTTTGACAGCCATTCATTGAGCTATAATATATAATATTACTGTAACATCAATCATCTGCCTTTACATTTGAAGACAATTTTACAAAAAATAAATAAATAAATGTGTTCAATTTGCGTCCATGTTGTTGATTTCAGGTTAAAATTTGCATTTCCTGCCTGCCTGCCTTGAGACAGCCAATGAGAGACAGTCAAATCCCATGAGATAAAACACAGATGTGAGGTTTCCCTACTGGGAGCAGACAAATTAAGAAAAGGACACAGTGGACATGAGGGATGAAGGAAAGCTGGTAACATAAGGGGGTGTTATCGTCTGGACCCCCGACAGCGTCCCTAATACGAGTGCCATTAAACACATTAGGTCCAGATGTGCAGAACACATGGTGCAAAATCTTGAAAAGAGGACAATCTGTCAGAAAAAGAAGGAGGTCTAAAAGAGAGATAAAACTGCAAACAACAACATATGAGATTTGAAAGAAAGCAGAGGCAACAATTAAAGCTAGAAAGCTGCTTTATTTACAGCAGGGCTAAGACTCCTGGATCTAAAAGACTCGGGATGTGTAATCAGCTTTACTGCATGGCTGACCTTAGGAAAGAGCTTACCATAAACAACACAGACAGAAACAGACACCTTTTAAGAAGCTAACATGTGCATGTGTATTTTTTAAATGTGTATTAAGAGATGCATTCCTCTGGAGGAGTGTGTGAGACAAATACAGGAAGCTGAGTTCAAAAGGCCTAGCATTACTGAAAGGAATACATGGTACTGCTGACTTTAAAAGTTATTAAGCTATAGATGGGCATCCAGTGATTTATTTCTGAAAGACTATGGGAAATCCATCCTGTGGTTCATGGGATATTTTGCTAACAGACAAACAGAGTTGACTCCAGCAATTAATGCCAAGATTTTGAGAAGCAGTGTTGTACAATTTGCTGCACTCTGAGTATATTAGGGACTATGCTTGTGGGTCGATATCTAGATAAGAGCCTGATTTATAGAAGTTTTGTGTTTTCTAAATTCAGTTAGCTGTGGCAGTCATGAATTCAGTAGATTCCAAAAGTTAATTAAGTTGTAGTTGTAAATTTGTTGGTAATTTTCTGAACGTTTCTATAAACTTCATCTAGTGGTTCGTGAGATATTTCACTAACAGAGCTGAATCACTTTACCACTTGCTCTTGTCAAGGGCGGACACTTTTCCCCTCCTCTCCCTCCTCCACTTTGCTTTTGCTCTGTCCTGTCTGTGAAACTGCTTCAGAGCCTCTCTCTACATATGTCTTCAGAACCATAATTTTTGCTATGGATCTGGTAAGCTGGTCTCTCAACGCAATTGATAAAATGTTCTCAATGAGAAACCAAGCTTCAGGTGAACTGACTTGCCCTGATGAAACGCATGCAGCTGGATATGTCATTGATCCCTGGGGCGAGTGGAAGGTGATGTGTCTATCTCTGCTGTCCATCAAGGATGTTGAAGACGCATATATAACTGGATTTATGATAACAGGTTTCCTGCTTTTTGGAATCGGCTAGTTCCTGGTTTATCAACTAACAAGGAAGTCATCAGCAGCAAATTTGGTCCTGGTCAGGTTGCCTGCTTTAAGCGATGGTTCGCTCCATGCCTCGAGCACCCAGACTCAATTGCTTTGCGACCTGAACCGCAAATTGGATGTGATTTGTGAGAATCACACTCCACTTGCGGCCCCTAGAATTCGCTGTCAGGATAGATCAGATCTCGGGGAATACTCTCAGGCACAGACAAGTGGTGTGTCAACTTAATTAAGACGTTTGGGATTCATGAGGACCAGCAAAGACTCAAGGCAAACATAAACCAGTAAAGTTCTGCCTGCCTCCAAAACAAATGCTGTTTATCTGAATTTGGCTACCCGGCTGGCCTTGACAGGCCACCTTATCTCAATTCGCCTGGAGGCCCTGTAAATTTGATGCTCTGCTCCCTCCTCTCCCTCTGAGGAAGTCTGCGGACCTATCAGAGGGACCCAGCTGAATAAACATTGTGTCATCATTGGCGCTGCCCTACATCGACCTCAGCACCCCTCGAGAGTGTTTATGGATCTCACCAGAGGGAACTGACTGATTATATCATTCTTATCAGAAGTCCTACAGAGCCTCTGAAGTGTCCTTGGACACGCTCACTGCTTTTGTCGTCTCCTCTTCCCTGCAGAATGTCTGCGTCACTATGTGCTTATGTGCAGGGTGTATTTTTCAATCTCAGGCTATCCCTCCTCAGCCAAGAAGTGAGAGTTTGATAGGAATTTTTTTTTTTCCAAATCCTATACGTGTCACTTTCATTATTTTTTGTCTGTCTAAACAGGTCTCACTTGTAAATGAGTCTTTGAGGCTCAATGTGATTTATCTGTATAAATAAAAGTTGAATGAATGAATGACTCCAATAGTTAATGGCAATTTTTTAAATGCAGATTTTGCACAATCCATTGGCACTCAGTATGAATTTGGGATCATTCTCAGCTACTACCATACGAAATTTTAGTTCATGTTTTTTAAAATGGACAACTACAAATATTTCTGAGTCTGTTAAGGCTACTTTGTTTTGACAGCCATTTTGAATTGGGCTGACTCTTGTAGTTGTGCATCCAGTCATTTCTCTCAGAAAGTTTAATTATAATCCGTTCAGTGAATCATGAGATATTTTGCTAACAGTGCAAACGAACGAGCACGCACACACAGACAGGTAAAAATATTAGTGCTCCGCTCTCACCTCAGCCGTCTGCATAAAATGTTTATCAATTTATTATACTTATTAAGAACAACAAATAAAGCAATGAATGCTGGATTTTAAATTAATTAAATTTTGAAATTATAGAGCTGTCCCCTCTCAGCTATAAGACGGTTCACCTCCTGGCCTTTCTTAGTGTTTGTATTTTCTCTCCGGGCATACGTGCATTTTCTCCAGGTACTCCAGTTTCCTCTCACAGACCAAAAATATACATGTTAGGCTGACTGGCAACTCTAAATTGTCCCTAGGTGAGAGTGAGACAGTGAATAGTTGTTTGTCTCATTTGTGGGACTGTAATGGACTAGAGTAGAGCTGTTATTTCTAACCCGAACCCGGAGCCCGGCCTGGCCCGGATTCGGGCCAGGTCATAATAATGTGCTTAATGTGCGGGCCAGGTCAGTGTCCGGCTTTTGATTACATCAGCTGACACGGGCGGCTGACAATCCAATTATATGACAACATGGCTTGCCATACAATCACCAGCCACACATGGCCATTTGTCCGCGCGCTGACCGGCCTTGAAAGAGGTAAAAAGTTCAGTTAAGCTTCAGATGGACTACTGCCAGCGATCCATCAGCCCAAATGGACGTTCATTCAGCCACTGCACTCAGCGGACGCATACGGCTGATGACCCAAACAGGTGAGATCACAAAATGTCCGACATGTCAGAGCAGGGTCCATGTCTGAATAATGCAATGTCTCAGCTCTGATCTTCTGCACGTACGAATGCAACTCTAGACCGGAGTGGAGACCTATCCTGGATGTCTCCCCGCCTCTCACATAGTGACTGCTGGAGATAGGCACCAGTGACCCAGAAAGGAGAAGCGGGTAAAGATAGATGAATGGATGGATAGTTGGAAACTAAAGATTCTGCTGTTTACTCACCACAGCTGTAGCAGTGCCAGTCCCCAGTGAAGCCCAGCTCAGGATTAGGGACAGGATAACAAAACCCATGATCCTGGAGCAAACGGAAGTGGTGAGAATTAAACATGTGAGGAGAATTGGAGGAAAAAAAAACAGAAAAAAATACAAAGACATATGGGAAGAAACTGATGAATCAGTTTGTCTTGGTTCAGTGAGACAAATGAAGCCCCATTTTCAGCCAATTAATTTGATTTATGCCTCTCGGCATTTTGCTTGAAAATTGTTCCCCCTCCGCCTAAAGACAGAGATCCAGCTGCTATGGTGCATTTTAAATCACACGATACAGTGAAAATTCAATTAAATAAAATTGTGTAAAAAACAAATTAACTTATGATTTCTTGTTTGATCTTTTTCCCCACGGTTTCAAAAATGTATTGTATTAAAAAAAGATGCTTAATTTGTTTGAAAAAGCAACAACTGAAGTATTATCGAGTTTAAATACTTCTCATTGCCATCTTTATTAGTCTGCAATCAGTCTATTACCAAAAAGTGGCTCTGTATTTAAAAAGCTGAACCAAACCTTGGTTTAACTATTCACATGCGCCCTCTTTTATTAAATAGATGAGTGTAAAAAAAGGTCAAAAAGAAAAGTAATAAGAAAATCGCCCCAACTATCAGCAGGAATTTTGAGCAACTGCTGGCACAGAGCTCAGAAAGTGTTACGAGTGTGAGGTGGATAAACCATGTAAAACAAAAGAAAATGGCCCCTTGATGGACATAAAAAGGCTGACGAGGGCTTCAGCGCTCAACCCGCTCCTCAAACCTTCTTAAAAGCAACAATAAAGCAGCCTGAGAGCACTTAATAATTAGTTAAGGGAGCAGTCTTATCCTACTTGGACGATCAATAGGCATTAGTGAGGCCCATTAGAAAGGGAAGTGAGGAGCGATCCCGAGCATCATCTGCTAACACTGACACGTAGGATGCACCAAATTGGGCAAATGGGATGGAGCAGTCTGGATTGTGGCTTTGCTTGTCACACTTCAGTGTTTGTTTAGATCACTATCTGCAATTTACTCAACTTCTCATTCCTCAGCAGAATCTTTGTTTTTGTTTCAGTTTTTGAATCAAAATTTTTAAATCAGCTTCCTAGACTGAAAGTTTCACATCTTTGTGCATGCAAATGAAACAGCTTAAAGAAACAAGAGCTGTTTGAAGATACCATCAAGTGAGGAGCTAATGGAGCATATAAGGTGCCATAGAGCCTGGCTTTAGCCCTGCCTTTCCGTGGTCCCTCAATCTGAAGAAATAAGAAGCTTCAATCGAATAAATAAGGGAAACCACATTCATGGCACCTACGTTACAAGCAAACATCGGGACTGCTTGGCTATTCCCAAGCACATGGCCAGGCAGATGACCAGATCCAGGATGAGCAGCAGCAGATAAGTCAGCCATCTAGAAGACAGAAAGATGATACATTAATTACAATATCCATCATTAACGTTCACTTACAAACAGCGTGTTATATGCACGGGTTCGAGCCTCGGAGAGGGCTGGCTGAGCATATGTTCGCCACTGACAGCGTGAGATGAATGTATGTTTTGTATCAGCATTCTTGTCTCCTACTTAGAGCCCATCTGTTTCAGGTAATTTCTAGCTTGTAGGGCTTAATAATTCAACACCACCAATCCATAAACATTAATTTTTTATTCTCCTTTGAAAATGTCCTTCTCAAAAATGTCTGACTCTGGGTTGGAATGCTGTGTGTGTAAGTAGTTGTGCTCCTCGGACTATAGTCGAAGGAATGTAAATTCTCATCTACTCTTGGTCTAACTGTGTAGTAAATGTACATTCAAGACAAAAACGTTGGTAACCAGGACATCACATAAACAGTTAAATTTGCAGAATACTATAGACTGACACAAGCTTGATGCGGTGCACCTGTAACATAATAGTTAGTCTGTGCACTGAGGTCAGCAGAGAATATGATTCACTCATTCTCACAAAGAAGTGCAGAGGTACTCTCACAGACTCAATAAACTGCAGGCTGGCCATTACTTTACTCAAAGATGAGGGCAAATGAATGGAGGTTGTGCACTTTACTTTGTCTGTGAAAGCAGACCCACAAAAGCACCAAGACATAACCGAATTCACACAGAGAGGAGAGAAGAAAATATATAATACTGAGGGGGGGTATCATTTTTACTTTGTTCGAATGACATTGGGTTGGCTGTAACATTTTCTGTTCAAAACCCAGCTGCAGACTGTTCAATAACTACAAAAAAATCCAATCAAGACCCAAGGGATCAGTGTCAGATAACTTTGGTCCAAAAGAAGATCCGGTGTCGGTACAGAAAGGACGCCCCGTGTGGAGCCATGTATAAAACGTTAGGGATATTGTATTGCTACCATACAAAATGGTTATTTAGACTGTTATCTGCTGCTTTGTCTGCCTTTCATGTCAGAGCATTCAATTATGATCATTAAATTGTGAGAAAAGATAAAGTAATTGCCATTTTGGCCAAACACATGGGATATTAGGGGGTTGAGATGGGGTAGAGGCAGGGCAGCCGACCCAGGACCTGAAAGCACCCTGCAGATGTTGGATGCTGTCTATCATGGTGCACTAAGATTCATAACTGGCTGTGATTATCATACCCACCACTGTACCCTGTATTCACTGGTTAACTGGACATCATTAACTTCATACAGACTCTCACACTGGTACATTTTCATCTTTAAATCACTTCTTGGTCTGCTGCCTTCATACATCTCCTCCTACATGTCTCTGCGTGAGTGCAGCTACAGCGTGCGCTCTCAGGACATTATTACCTGCAGTGTTCCCTCAGTGCGGACTGAACTTGGCAAAAGGGCCTTCTCCTACTCCGCTCCTGTTTCCTGGAATATCTTACAAAAAGACCTGAAGCTCTTGACCTTGACCTCCCTAAGTGGCTTTAAGAATCTGTTGGTCTCCTGGCAAGGACCAATGCAGACATGTTCCTGTTTTTTAGTTTTCTACATTAGCCTAATAATCTAGCTGTTTTTGGTACTTTTTTGCCATCTTATTTCAATTTGTTAAAACAAAAATCTGTATGCCTCTTTTATGATTGTCTATTGTTGTTGCTGTTGTCATCATTCTTTGTTGAAATCAGGTCTCTCTTGTAAATGTGACCTTGAGGCTCAGTGGGATTAACCTGTCTAAATAAAGGTTGAATGGGGAAAAAAAAGTCCCAGTCTCAATCCACAGTCATTCCCACATGTCGTGGTGTCTCTGAGCAAGACACCCAATCCCCAACTGCTTGCCAGGCGCCCACATAGCAGCCCACTGCTCCACCTGGGGGCATCTCAGGAGCGATGTGTTAAATGCAGAGAACCAATTTCACCATTGTATGGGACTATACAATGATGACAACACATATCACTTATCATATTGTGAAATCTTGTGATCACAGAGCTTGGACTATGTGTTGAGGATGACTCTCAGGTACTAACTTGCCAAATTGTAGCTAAATATATGTAAAGTTGACTGAATTATAGTAATTTTTAAGATGAGTCATTTTGAAATGGGTTGACTTCAAAAGAAGTACCTCCAGTGATTACTACACGAGAGCTGCATTCAAATCTGTTCTGTGTTTCGTGATATTTTACTAACTCAACAAACACATTCACATATAGGAAAAAAAAACTTTCTCACCCTTTCACTTTTGATAGTAGGCTAAAAAAAATGTGAAAGTGTGTATAGTAGAACAATAATTTAGAGTTTCTGTATACAGAGTAAATAAAAGTTATTTTATGAAGAACAAAACAATGAAACTGGTGCAAACGATGGTGCACAATGGCACGATGATAACTGATGACACTGATTTGTATTTTGAATTTACTGTAAATTTAGGCTGAATCAATGTTTCCCACTTCATGAACAACCGTTTTTCTTCCTTCTTTAATGATGGATGTTTTAATTATTTAGCGATACATCTTATTTATTTTTTTAATCAAATTATTGGATTGACAAAGCTGTTTTTATTGAACAACCAACATTTTTTTGCAGTCAATGAATGAAATGTAATAGTCTAAGGTCAAACAGACATTCCACCGTGCATAATTTTCTGCAAGGGTGATACATGTTAGATCTAAACTGCACAACAGAAAATGAGCTCATTCTCAGGTTTCATTTATTTAGCAATTAGGGGGAAAAGATAGCTTTTCCGGCTTGGGTTCCTCAAGGGAGATCAATAAAATCCCATCTGCTCCACTTCTGCTCTGGATCACATCTAGTCCACCATGAGCAGTGTGTTTACTCCATCCACACACACTCACAAAGGAAAATAACGTCCATCAAGATAGGGGAGTTGCTATAGCTCTACTTGCCTGTAATACTCAATGAAAGCTGCCTGGTCTGCAATGGCTGCCAAGTCCGTCTTAGTTTTGCTAATGTCTGGCAGAGCAGTCAGCTCACGGATGACATTGTTAAGCATCAGCTGCATGAAGCGCAGCGCTTGGAGGTAGTCAGTCCTTGCACTAAAGATCTCATCCAGGCGTTCCAGGTGCTGCTTGAGTCCACTTTCAAAGTTGTTACGAGATCCTGCAACCTGAGGAAAACGAGAAAATTAAAAAGAAACAGGATAAAGAGATATAGGCAAATTTAACTACAATGTGAGTTTATGTAATGTTATGTAGAAACAAATAGAATATTGTCAGACTGAAAAGGCAACAGAAAAATATTTTGGTTATTTTAAATAAGTTATCTTAAAAAAAAATCTCATTTTCATTGTTAATATTTATCCTTTTTCCTTAGCCACGTGTTTTATTCAGATAACTTATGGTATAGTAGCGTACTGCTAAGACTGGTGAGTTTCTTTGACTAAGAATGCAGATGTAGAAGAAACAGTGAAAACCACCACATTTGCTTTAGACCTTGTTTACAACGTTATATGTTGCCATAGATTTTGGGTTGACGTATATAGAATGGCCTTCTCATATTAGTTTACTTGATGTTTGCTTTACTCCTCCATGTTGTTCTCTTTATAGGATACTTCTTTTCCTTTTTGTTCTTTCTTGTGTTTTGTTCACTAATACCAGTTAAATGTTTAAAAATAAAGATTGCACAAATCAAAGTGATTTATCATTGAGACATCAGTCACAGTGGTTAATACTTTTTTAATGACATTAACATGATGCTGTGAAATGGCCTTTTCACACAGTGGCCTTTTCATATCTGAACTAAAAACATATCCACAATAAGTCACCATATAAAGACTAGGCATAGGCAATGAATCACATCAATGTGTGCTTACACAAGCTAACATCTTGAATAAGCAGACCAACAACAACATCGCCGGTTAAAACAATGAATCATTTTCAGTCCTGTGACCACCACCACTGACTGCTTGGAGGTGTTTCAATAGCTATTTTGAACCAGAAAGACCAGGTGTTCTTACCTTTTCTTGTTGGGAAGCAAAGCGACAAAATCCCCTTCAAATTGATTCCACATTCTAAGTTTGGGAAAGTTCTCAATATCCTGACAAGGAAAACTTTACTGGGTACAATACGTTTTACGTATATGAATGTTTTGTACAGTACCCTGAGATGACTTATGTTGTGTCTTGGCGCTATATAAATAAACTGAATTGAATTGAATTGAACATGCTCAACCACCACAAAATAATGAAGGGACTCTGACAATGGTCTGTGTGAAGCCAGTGGCATTGAATTTGCACTATGTTTTTGACCTCTTTGCACTATTTAGGCTAGTGCCTTGCTCTGAGCAGTGAAAGAGAACAAATATTCTTGGAGAACCCTTCATGGATCGGGAGTAGCTCAGAACACAGAGTGTTTCAGACCTTGTACCCTTCATCCAAAGGACGCAAAGTTTTGAATAAGGCTCAGTGTATTTTTGGGGTGCAATGGTGAAAACCTTTGAGGCCCCCACTCATGGATTTTTCATACATCCCAACTTACCAATACCAATACCAATGTTTACATGAAGGGGACAGAACATTAAACCAGCCAACAAGGAAGCTAGTCCTGTTTAGGCTTCAACTTTTAGGTTCACAACAGAGGTCTATCAATGTGCAGTCAATGCTTTGACCCTCTAGTCCACCTGCTGGACACAGGTGGACACAATGAAGGTTCATCAATTGCTGTATGATGAATGGAGTAGTAGGAGACATCATATGTCTTCAGTTTTAGCTTCTCTCCATTGGCTCCGTCAAATTCAGAATTGTATTCTAAATCTTACTTCTAACCTACAAAGCTCTCAACAACCTAGCTCCATCTTATATTCGAGATCATGTTCTTTATTTTCCTAAAAGAGCACTTCAATCTTAAACTGCAGGCTTATGGTACTTGCAGTTCCTAGAGTTTCCAAATGCAGAATGGGAGGAAGATCTTTCAGTTATCAGACTCCAACTTCCAGTTTCTGTCCGTGAAGATGACACATTGTCAGAGCTTAAAACTTTCCTTTTTGATAAATCCTATAGTTAGGGTTGGCTTGTTATGCTGCTGTAAGCTTACACTAGTGGAGGACAAACTGATCTCATTTCCTTAAATGAATTGTTAAAATTGAATAGTTTCATTTGATATATTTCTATCTAAACATGTGATTCTTAACCTGCCATTGTGTATCTGTTCCTCCTTCCTGTTCCTCTCAAACCCAGCTGGTCGAAGCAGATGGCTGCTTGTCCTGAACCTGGTTCTGCTAAAAGTTTCTTTCTCATGAGGGAGTTTTTCCTTCCACTGTTGATTTCATGATTGCTCAAAATGCAGTTTGCTCCTCAGATAAATAATGTTATTAACTTACTTTTTATATATGTGAATGTTTCTGTTCAGTGCCCTGAGATGACTTCTGTTGTGACTTGGTGCTATATAAATAAAGGGAATTAAATTGAATTGAATTACAGTGTGACAATTACAGGGAGACAGTGTGAACTGATGACTAAAATGTGAATCATTTCAAGGAACAGTCTAACAGTGTCTGATAAGCAAGCCTTAATTTAAGAAAACATGGTAATTTGCGGGCAGCACGGTCGTGCAACTGATAGAACTGCTGCCTCTCAGCGAGCCGGTCCCTGGTTCAAATCCCGGTCCGGGGGCCTCTCTGGGTGGAGTTTGCATGTTCTCTCCGTGTATGCATGGGTTTTCTCCAGGTACTCTGGTTTCCTCCCACAGACCAAAAACATGCATGTTAGGCTGAATGGTAACTAAATTGTCCCTAGGTGTGAGTGAGAGAGTGAATGGTTGTTTGTCTCGTTTGTCTCTATCTGTCCCTGTGATGGACTGGAGACCCGTTCAGGGTGTACTCCGCCCCTCGCACAGTGATTGCTGGACATGGGCACCGGCGACCCCCGTGACCCAAAAATGGAAGAAGCGGGTAAAAGATAATGGATGGATGGATGGATGGATGTTAATTTGCTTTTAGGCTGCAAGTGTCAATAGAAGACTTGACTCTGTATTGCCTTGTCATACTGAAGCTTAAGTTGTAAACAGTTCTTGATAGTTTAAAACAAATACAACAATGAAAAACAACCTAACACACCCTTACTTTGTTTTTTAGTTTTTGTTTTGTATGGTCATACAGGCAGAACTACACCACATAGTTTCAATTTTAAACTAAGATTTTGCTCAATCTATTACCATTCAGAATACGTACTGTGGATCAGGCTCAGATAATTCCAAAGTTTAGCCTAATATCTGTACTTGACTGAGTTATAGTCATTTTGTGTTTTTAAGGTCAGTTGGTATGCAGCCAAATTGAATCATGCTGACTTCAAATTAGGGATGCACAATATTATTGGCATGGTATCAGTATTGGCCGATATTAGCAATAAAGTTAAATATCGGACATTGGCCATTTCATCAAAATAACTTACCAATATTAAA